TGATTCTATCTAGCATTTATCGAACAAACTTTATCTATATATTTTATATATATATATATATATATATATATATATGTAAATTGCACGTCAATTTTTGATTGATATTTATTACAAAAATTCTACTCGATGATGCAATTTTTTCACAAATAGATTTAAGAACCAAGTTTTTCCTTTTTTTAATTTTATTTTAAAAAAAATTGATGATACGAAATTTTTGAATAAGAATTTGTACAAATGTTTAACGTTCGTACAACTTTTTCTTTGTTACAGTGAAATTTCATTGGGATCAAAAAGTACAACTGAAGTTGCACTATGATTTTCAGTTCGAGGAAATTCAAGTAAGTGAATTCAATCTGTACTAATTAAAATGTTATTCCAATAAATAAAGTTTGAAAAGAAATCTTATTTTTTTAAACTATCATATCAGGAACAACATTTTAATTAAGACAAAATTTAATCTTTTGTTTTTTTTTCCCCTCTTAAAGATCTCTGATAAGTATTTAACCTAAACAAGGATCGTTATCTTTCTAATAATTATCAGAAAGAAATTTCAAAGAAAATCGAACTAGCAAATCTTTTATCAAATTTTTATTCATCATCTACTTTCATACGTACAAAAATGACAAAACTCCAATTAAAGAAAAAAAAAAAAAAAAAACCACGAGAGATCTAATTCTTTTCACAATTTAATTACGCACTTAAATCTCCAAGATTCATGATAAAAAGTGGGTGAAACACACAGTTGTCACTTTGCCAGAACAGGTTCAATTCACTTTCTACAGCTTCGTAAGCCTACGCCTCCATAATTCGCGTACAGGAATGAGATTTGATGCACACACGGCTGTAACTCGGGGAAAAACGGTCGTCTCGACCTTGTTTCTCCCCGTCGAAAGTAATACGTCGAGGGAGATGTTTCGAAGAAGAATTCCTTTGGGCTCATTGTCTGCCCGCGAACAATGGGGAATAAGCTAAACTCGAAGTGGGTGAATAGGTCACGAGTTACGCGATAGAAACGGAGCAGTCTCTTTCTCCTTGCAGAAAGGACCCACGACTGGTTAAATCGAAAGTTTTATAGGTATATATATATATATATATGTAATATATTTTTCTGTTCGTATGTGTGAAAGCTTATGGAATGATACGCTATTGAAATTCGTCGCTGATTGCCAGCTTGCTCGCTTTCGCCAGTGATATATGTACATATACTCAGCCGCATGTAAAACTTTCCGATTCGTTTCGAAATTGCTGTTCGTTTATGATATTATTGGAGGAGGAAAAATGGAGCGACGAATTTTTAATCTAAGAAAATTGAGCGTGAAATAGTATCGGTTATAAAGATTTATATCAAGTTTCTAATTTGATTCACGTTTTCGTCTCTTTTCATGGCTTTAAATTTCTCTTAATATTCTCGATACACGGCTTACTTTATTTTCAAACGTGTTGTTCGATTATTCAAATAATTACCATAAATTTGTTGTTTTCCAAGAAAAACAATTTAACTTTAAATTTTCATAATTGCAATTTCTCCCTCTGGCATCATTTTCCTCTATTTCTTCTTCCTCTTTCAATATCAGTTACAAAGTAACCATAGTTGTTATTAAAACGAGTTTCACGATATTAAATAATATTTTTCAGTTAATCAATAATAATAAGAACGAATATTCCAATTATTCCAAATAACGATCAATTCGAGTGAATTTAAAAATATTTCGGGAGAAAGAATAATCAGAAATTTATTTTAATAACATGAAAATTATATACAGGATAAATTTAAAAAAATTAAACGTTTGCATCGTTTCTCAAATTTTTAATTCACTGCAAGCATCTTTAAAAATGAATTTCCATTCCATTCTCGACGAATATCGTGATCAAGATAGTGCCTCGATCTATTTCTAATAAAATTCAGGTTCAACAGGTGCTGCCCTCTGGCCGGCCCTCCCCGAGTCAAGAGTCGCGGTAGATCGCGGCATCATTTAAATAACAGCTGCATCACGATCATCACGGTGGGCTCGTCGATGTGTGTACTCTCACTTTCTCTGCGATATTCCCGACGACCCGGTTTTTCAGGCGACACAGTTCGCTTCATCAAACGAGAAAGTGAACGTGTAGATCGCCACCTTCTCCTCCTCCCCCTCCTCCTCCCCTTTCTTCCTTCTTAATCTCTTTGAAAACCGGTGAAATCCTTCTTTGCGTGGGTGAGACCACGCAAAGAAGGCCACGAAAGCTTTTGTCCATGCAGTGTGTAACGCGGTGATCACCGTCCCGGAGGACTTATTATTACTTTCGAGAAACGACGGAGATAAATTTGCTCTCCACCGACTTCCTAGTAGAACGATGGAGAACAGAGAAAGCTTTGTCCTCGTTATTCGAAATCAGCTTTTGTCGCGTCGTTTTCTTGTTTTTAATATGACGTTGAGAATATTATTCTCGTCTCGGTCAAGGAGACGCAGTCGATAGTTTTTAACCGTGGAATCAAAAGGAACGTTTGTTAAACGTAGAAACGAATATATCTCAATTAGTTAGAAGATAAGACTGTTTCGATAAAAAAATTTGCTAATTGAAGATTACATAGTAAATATAAATGTAGTATAAATCGTTTTAATTTTCTTGGTTTTCTTTTTTTTTTTTTTACAGTCTAGCGTATTTAAACGCGCATATATTTTTTTCTTGAACATTTGTTGCA